AGAGGGTGAAATTGCTGACAACATAAGAGAAGGATTTCTTTTTATAGTGCCTTTCCTTTCACACAGCCTAGGTCCCCAGATTGCATGGGGGGAAGACTCCAGAACGTGAGCCCCTGGGATGCCTGTTTGCAGCAATAGGGACACAGTGAAGGCTCCTCTGCTGCTGACCTCTCCCACCATGGCGGGCCCTAACCAGTACTCGGGCGCCCTCCTCTCTCCTCCATCCTGCTCACTTGGGGCAGCTTCCGATTCTTCGGTGGGCCTCCCCTATCTGTGGCCAAACTGCCTCACTGCGCTGCACCTGCGGTGAGAGCGGGCCAGCCCTTGCACTGGCTCTCCGCTGGTTGCTGCTCCTAGCACCATCAATCCCACCTCAGCGGACCTCTCTGGCCGGCAGCTCCTGTGGGTGCACAGCACAGGCTCCTGCAGCACAGCAGGTCCTCCCCTTTCCCCTCTTCATCAGCATCCCCCAAGCCCCCCCATCTTTTCTTCTCCACTTTCTCTCCAGCTCTTGTTTTTTACCCTCTGGTTGGCAATTTCCCATGCTGTCCTGCATGCAGGAAAATTGCCTCTGATGCCCAGCTGTTGAGGCCCCAAGGACCCCCACCCGCGGCCCCTGCCGCAGATCTCAGCAGGCACCTGGGGAGCGTCCTCGCCTCCAACGCAGCGCGAGCAGGCTTGGGCGACCTCACCGCTCACAGCAGTGCCACGCGGCAGCGCGCACCGGGTCGCGCCAGGCGCGCAGACCCCCTCCTCTGCCCCCACCATCTGCTGGCCCTGCCAGGCCCAGAGCAACGGTGGGCAGAACGGAGGAGTGAGCTCAAAACCTGTGTTGGAAGGACAGGACCCCTCCGAACTCACACCGGCAGCATCTTTGTTCTGGTACCGTCCTTCTGCAGCGCCTAGTAACAGTGCAGGCCAGTACCCCCATAGCTGGCAGCAGCCTTCCCAGGGCATGGCCAGAGCCCAAGGACCAGCGTCCTGTAGACCAGGAAACAAATTCCAATGCTCTAGCTTCACGTATTTAATTCAGGGTGCTTAATTTGAGAGTCGTCAGCCACTGAAGAGGAGAAAGGCGCTCCCCTTCCAGGGTAACGCAGAGCTGAGCGGCACTGCTGCACGCAGCCGCCCCGTCCCAGCAGCTCTGCCCTGGCCCCGGCCCGCGCGGGGCCACCGCTCTACGCAGTGGCTCTTCCTAGACCTGCGGATGAGCTTGGCGACTTCCCTGCTGAGAGGAGCAGCTCAGCAGGCTGGATCTGCTGCCTGGTCTCATTTCCACAAGCAGCAGTAGCCCAGCTAAGAGCCAGCCCTGCCCAGGGCTCTGGGCACAGCACAGAGCACAGAACCCATCCATCCGCCTTTCTCCAGGCCATCGGAGTCTCCAGAGCCAGCTCCAGGGCTTGCGGGCAACTCCCTGTCAGTACCTGCGGCTCAGGGCTGGGTGTAGGTGCAGCGGGGAAGCTGCTGGGGATAAAAGGGAAGGCTTGGAAAAAACGGAGACTGCTGCCTTTCTGCCCTGAGCTACAGAAACAGCCCAAATTTGCAACACTTCAAAAATAATGGCTATTTTTGAGATTTCCATTTGGGAAAATAGCAATCCTTGGAGAGAGAGAGAGAGGAAGAAGAGAATTTTACTCAAAAAAGAGAGGTCTTTTTTTTTTTTCCCTCCTGTGAAAAACCCCGGCAGGTTGGAAGCAGAAAAAGCATTTTTGGATGAGAAACAAGTGGTGCCAAAAAAAAAGTGTGATTTCTTTTTTGTTGCATTTTCCTTTAAAGGTGAAAAAAAAATTGCCATTTTTGCACCAATTTTGTGGGAGGTGGAAAAATAAATCTTCCTTTTCAGACCAATGAAATGGAAACACCTTTTTTTTAACATTAATATATATTTTCTCTATCTGCACAGCTCTGCTAGGTTAGGAAGCATTCAAGATACTTTGGGGTGAAAGTTGCTCATAATATAAGATGATAATAATTAACAAAATAGACACTAGGATAATTTTTTTTCTCTTTTTTAGGAATAAAGCTCATCTTGCTGTACGGAAGGCAAAAATAACTAGTGGGCAGATTGAGATCATCTTACTCATGCTGAATAGTAGCCTTTCATTAGAAAACTGATTCCAGGGAAGCTGATGGAGTGAAATGTAGAATAACAGGCTATTAGTTACAAGGAGCAAAATGGGACATTTATTTATTATTATTATTGGATCAGCCATTGCTATACGCTTAGCACTTTTCCAAACACAGGCAGATGCCCAGTGCTGCCCGCAGGGAGTTGCGGGGCATCGCGGATGTACCCGCCTCAGGAGGGGCTGGGAAATGCTGCGAGGTGTCAGACCACCTTCCCCCTGCGCTTTTTTTTTAAAAAAAGAACAATGTTAGGAATCATTAGGAATAACCTCAAATTCTGAATCCACTAGACATATGGAGGCAAAGTTTTAAAAATACTGTTGAGGGGGAGGGACCAACCCTGGGCCCAGGAGGCTGAAGTCAGGTGAGACATGTTCAGTCCTGCGCGATCCAGGCATGCTGCTTTCAGCTGAGGTTGTATGCTTAAGCCACTGGCTCTTTGCAAAAGGAACCTGTCAGTAGCTGGTATGGCTGGGATTTCATCGTGGCCCAAGGGAGCTAAATGCCCAGATTTCAGTAAAAGTCAGGTGTCTAATCCCTTGAGTAAATATGAAAAGTCACAGGTTCTATTTGGAAAAATGATCCGACTTTTTAAAGTAGGCTCACATACACATATGCACCCACACATTTATAAAATAGTAGGTTTTTAATGTGTATGTGTGCATGTACACACACACACACACACTCTTAGCTATATCTGTATATCTATATCATGTTTCTGCTGGTGCAAAAGTTGAAAGTTAGTACAAACAAACTGCTTGGCAATGACCGCTGAAAATTTAAAACAAAAGCCCTCCAAATTAAACACAACATACAGGATATGCTGCCCTACAGGGATAAGCGGTCTCCCCTCCCCGCCAACAAACTACCTTCAGAGACAGCGCCAACAGCACAAGGCATGTGTGGGAATGGAAGAGGAGGACAAGAAATGCATCAACAAGACAAGGAAAAGCAACAAAAGGAGTTCATAAATCTGCACAGGGCTGGAGCTGCAAACCTTCTCCACCTGGAGGAGGCATCTGAGCTGGCGTGAGCTCCCAGTACATTAACACAAATTTCTCTGCTCTCAGTCTTCCAGCTCTGAGCTGCGCAGCGTGTGCTGCTCTAACCCAGCCGGTCCTCTGCAGGCTGACACCACCTCCATCTTGGGCCAAAACTCAGGATCCTCCCTCTCCCCTCAGACGCTATTTCTCCGTCACACGCTGTTTTCTGCAGGCAGCACTTGGCTGCTGGCAGGCGAGATGGGCTTGCTGCAGGCCTGAAGGTGGAGGGGCTGAGACAGTCCAACAGCGCCGGGGGGCAGAGGGGTCAGCAGCAAGCAGGGGAGCTTCAGGCGTGCAGCAGCAAGCTGAACAGGTTAGGGAGCCAGGGCTGAGGCAAGGATTGGGCTTCTACAGGATTGCTCAGGCATGGGAGTGAGGAAACTTCCTTCCTGCTGCCCATGCCTTCCAGGACCCCAAGCCGTGCACCAAAGCGGATGTCTGCTGCCGTAACTGGGCGGGCTGCCGCTGCTCCCGTGCGGGTCCCTGCCTAGACCCCCCACATGCCCTGCCGCGCACAAACCACCTCTCACTTCACTGCGGGGAGAGCAAGGCCAGGTCAGGACCCTGGGTCTCTTTGCTTGATCCCCTCCCAACCACAAGGCCACCAACGAGTAAACAAGGAGAGATGACAACTACCTCCACGGCTCTCGCTGTCTGCGGGTTTCACCTGAATCGGGCGCGCCATCTGCAATGAAAAAGAAACGCCAAGGATTAGAGGTTGGCCCACCTGCCGATGGCGCAGGGCGGGGGGCGGTGGCACCCGGGCTCCCCTGCCTGCCTGCTCTGCAGCATAAGGGCACCCGGGGGTGGTGACGGCCACCAGGGTCCAGGGAGAAGGGCCCACGCGGAACCAGGCACGTTCTCCTGTTGGGATGCTGGCCTGCGGTGAACACCTCTCCCGGGAACGCTGGGCACGCACAAACCTCCGCCTCCTCCAGACGCAGCCGTGGCAAAGGAAGGGTCCGAGGAGGCCCTAGCTGGAGGGCTGATGAGCAGAGCAGGGCAGACCTTGTCCTGCAGGCAGCGGGGCACAGCGCGCTGCAGCCTCCTCCCCGGCCAGCAGGAGCCCTCCGAACCAGGGGCTCCTCCGAGGACGGGTGCGCAAGGCAGGTTTCCACGCTCACAGAGAGCCTTCCTTCCGCCTCCCTCCGCACCGCGCACACAGGCTGACAGCGGCTTGAGTCAGTGCATTTAATAGTACAACAATAATAAGGAATATTTGAGGTAAGACCTGCACACGATTCGCAGGTCCAGGCCTAGTCTGCCCCAGCTCACAGGGAGCTCCCCCAGGAAAACCAGAAACAACAAAACAGCAAACGCACTCGAGTCATAAAAATCAAACTGAAATCTGCTGTGCAGCTGACACG